ATATGTTTTTCTATAATTAATTCAAAGCTACAGTTCTATGGTCAAATTATGATAAAATTTTTATGGTGTGCTAATTATTATATCATTGAATTGTAGTAAAAATTTTATGCTCATTGGATCATGTATAACTGAGTTATAGATTTATTTAGTTTTATGTTTGTTAAATAGTTTTAAAATAGTTAAAAGTGTGTTAAAATAGAAACGAGTATGAAATTTTTACTTTAGTTAAAGCATACAATAATTAGACCACCATAAAAATTTCACCACAATTGGACCATACAAACTGCAGCTATGAATTAATTACAGAAAAGTATAGATCTAAAGCTGCAGCAAAAAGTTTGTACTAAAGCATACCATATTATATGTTTACTGTGTAGATCTACTCATGTGGAGTCCAAAAAAGTTGAATTTTCCATTTTATGATTTTTCTATGATTTAGTATGATTTTTCAAATATTCAGCCAAAATAAATAAAAAAGAAAAAGACAAAACCGCTTTTGAAAACCACCTATAATTATAATTAGGTCAGTGTGGTAAAATGAACGATTTTAAAAGTTGAGCGATGTGGTTTATCCGGTTTTCGAGTTCAGGAAGGAAAACTAAGCTTCGAGGATAGTTTAGGGAGGTAAAATGAACTTTTCCAAAGAAAAAATGTAGGGGGCGCGGGAGTGGAAATGGGCCGACCAGAATTCAGCCCGAGAGAGAAGTGGGCTGAAAAGAAAATAAGAGATGAAAAAGGAAAATAAATGTGATGGGCTAAGATAGATGGGTTTTCAGCCCACGTTAGAAAGAAGGGGTTTAAAACCCTTTGAATTTTGTAACTCACTTTGAGGTTTTAACGTTCAAACCTTTTGAACCAACCAAATAACTTTTGAAACTCTTTAGAATACTTAAATTATGAATATTAACCTAAGTTTCTGAAATAAGTTTTAAACTTGTTTTCAAATGAACTTTAATATTTTACTTTAGAAATAGAACAAAATCTAATTGTGGCTTAACCAAGATTTTTATAAACTCATTTTTAAATCATAAAATTAATTGAAGCAGCATGAATACAAAAAAAATTATAACTTATGTCATTGTTTATTTAATTTACAAAAGCTTTTTTTATTTTGTTAAAAATTTAGCCATAACTCTAATTTTGTTCCGAAATTTTTGGAAATTTGGAAAATTCAAAAATTAGGTATTACAATTGCCGAAAAGGCAACAAAAAATGCATGTTATGTGAGTTTTGCATTGTTGACATGTACTCTAGAGTATATAAATGGCCACGCTTTTCAAACCCTAAAAGATTTCTTTTGTTCTAAGTGTATAATCTGATTTGCTTCCTAAACTTACCGCATAATTTAAAAAGCATTCTCAAACTTGAATAGTGGATAACCTACTACTCATAACTTTCAAAACCGAATAAATTACCTAAATAGTTCATAGTGGTTTCAATGGTTGTTTTTGGCTGATGTGGCATGTGGGCCCCACATGTCTTTAGATTTTTTAGCCATGCCATTTTTATTGAATATTTGAGCTCATAAATGATCTCAAATGAAAAAAACCAAATATAAATTTTTAGATCTCTTCATGCACTACAAATCTGGTACTTCTTTCACAGGACTAAAATACCCATGGCCAAATGACGTGACCCCTTCTCCCCTCGTGAACGCGTAGTCTCTTCTCCGCTTGTAGCTCGCGGTCGCATTCCTCTGAAAAAAAGCACTCTCCAAACCGAGATCCATGGAGGCTGATCTCGCGGGGTGGGGATGGTGGGGGAGGCAAGATGATGGAGGCGGCGTTCGGGAGCGCTCACACAAGAAGCAAAAAGAAGATCGATCTGAGTTTGTGATTCTTTTGTGTAGATGTGCTTGGGAATGTGTAAGAGATCCAGACTTTAACGTAGTGCAACTAATGTGTGTATGAACCTGCTGTGCAATGTGAACTTAAACTTATGTGTGTATGAATCTTCGTGTGTTTATGAACGTGGCAATATATACATACGTGGACTCTTTTGTATGGATTTGTGAAGCTAATTTGAGTTGTCAAATTTGTGGTAACTCTTTTAGTATGCTGACAATGTGATGAGATTTGTGAACCTTGTGCATGCAACTAATGTGTAGCTATTCTTACCTTAGTATCTCAAATTGCAATCTTCATTTGTCAAAAGCCCATGTTTTAGTCCACAGGTATATTTTTAATACTCATGTTTTCCTTATTTAACAACATGCCCATTCGTGCTTTTCCTATCTGGCACCATAGACTTCTAATATAGAGAGGGGCATATGTGTCATTTTGGCAACCACTTGACTCCGTTAGTGGAGCAAATGGATGATAGTGCCAAATAGGGAAGGAAATTTCAACTTGGTGCTAGATAAAGAAGTTTGATTTCATAAGTGCCATAGAAGGAAGACTGTTTTTTCAGTGCCAAATATGTTTTTTTTCTATAATTTTGTTATAGACTATGTTAATGTTCGAGGCCATTTGATTTATTTTTAAAAATATTGAATTTTAAAATACGAGAAACTAAAATGAATATGGGTGTCTAAAGAACCTCATATAAAAATGTGTCAACTACAAAGTTTTAGATCACATTTAGAGCTACAACGCTAGCATAGGCCATGTCAACATTGAACCATTTGAAAAAATTCAGGAAAAATGAATTTCAAAATCCACTAACTTAAAATGAATATTTGGGTCTCTAGATGATCTCAAATAAAAAAGTATTCAACAACAAAGCTGTATATCGTATTGAGAGCTATAAACTTGGTATAGAACATGTCAACAACTTAGAACATTCAAAAATTTCAAAAAATTGATTTTCAAAATATGATAACTTAAAAGAAATATTTGAGCCTCTAAAACCACCAAGAAACCATTTTGAAAATGGTCAAAGGGGTATTTTATCTAGTTTTAAAAGTTGAGGGAGGTAAATTATTTGGTATTTGAGTTCAAGGATTCTTTTTTAATTCAGCGACAAGTTTAGGGGTAAATCATACATTAGTTAGATAAGAAATGAGCAAGTTTTTTTTCATTTAAAAAGAACGTGAATTATATGTATAATGACCAACAACTTTGATATTTAGGCCCCGTTTGGCAACCAGAAACGTTTCGGATTCTTGCAAGAATCGGTAGAATCACTGCAAAATGGGTTAGATGAAAAACGTTTCACTCGAGAATCTCTAGAAATGCTTCTTGTTTTTATGCCTAGCAAGGAGAAACACCTATTAGCTTGTTTCGCGTGATTCTGATTCTTGTCCCCCTTCTATATTAGCAACCATAATTTTTTATTTAGTTTTTTTAAGCGAAATCAGTTAAAGTAGGTTGTATTTAAGTTATTCTTCGCCCACAAAAAAGACTGATTTTTTTAATAATATTTTTATTTATATGTTTTTTATTAAAAATATTCTTTTAAATCAAAATCCAACATACCAGCCAAACGGATTAACGAAACGATTCTAATTCATCGTCAGAAACATTTCTTGAGAGAATCTAGACCCGAAACGTTCCTACAAGAATTTGAATCCTACGAAATGCACCCTTAACAAGGACCACAAAAGTAGACTAACGACATAAAACCTTGGGGTTTTTTTTTAGGTAGCGTGCCCGTGCGTTGCTACGAGACACCAAAACTTTTATACTAAAAACACACGGATCGCACAACAGATTATATTGCATCCCTACTATTTACAATTCCAAAAAATATATATTCTAACCTCTAAATTTCTTTTTGACAAAATTAATCTACAATTTGTTGAAAGATTAAAAAGATGCTAGCTACCATGTACCCTCTAGCTATCAGATTTCGTCGTCCCTTGCCACAACGTACTTCTAGTTTCATGAGTGTGCACGTGCCGACTCGTGAAGTCTATTTTGCATGTCCAGTTCTTAGCTTAAGTTGTGCCTTGCACTCAGGTCCATCTCCACTCAACTATCAATACGCATTTGAAATTGGGAACAAATCCAACTATCAAAAGGATTCAATAATACTGAAGGAAATGGGAACAAAATATCGCAAATGTCGGCGAAGTCATCATCGTGCCATCCAAACCAAGCATCCATTCTAGCATATTCACATGTGGCCGTTACTGATCTACCAACAAGCAGCAAAATTTATTGAGCACAAGAACTTATTCTACATTTGATTATTTTTTTCATAGTTGCTTTGGCAGCTGGTTGTGCTAAGCATCAAGCATCGCTGTATGAATGGCAACCATTGATTCATCCTGTAAAATTGCAACAATTATGGGCAACCCAAGGAAAAAAAACCATCTTAGTTAACAGATAGTCTCTGATAGCCTTCTGCCTAAGCAAAATGCACCAACAGTGAACCAGATCTTTCCTTACCTGTAACCACAGAGGTAATAATCAGGCCTACACCCAATAAAAAAACCAGTTAAACACATTGTTAAATTTTAAAAAGGTCATGAAGAAGATTAAAGGAGAGCTAACGTACTCCCCAACCCAAGGAAGGTAGATTCTGGACGACTTGCTCTTGATTTGGTTCTACTTCTCCATCACTAAAGATCAACACTCTCAACAAAGAGATATTTTTCTTGACCTCGCTCTTCCGGAGCCTAATAAGAAGGTGAATACAAATCAGGCTGCAAGTAGTATTATAATAATTCACTTCGCTTTGAGGGGCATAGAACAAGGATAATAATCAATGGCATGCTAACATCACGGTAGAGGTAATATAAACAAACATACTATTGCACTTGACTCCTTGTATTATACTATTGCACGGTAGAGGTGGCTTTATATTAAGAAGACAGAGGAACGTGAAACGGTCTAGGCAAGGACTTGAACTTGGGGATGCTCACACCCTTAACAAACTGATCTAGACTCACCATCCTAATGGTGGAACATTTATTAGACAACCAGGATATGAAGTCGCAACTACCTATAATTGCTTCTCAATTTCAGGATTCAGTTTCAATTTAGCGAAATAAACACCGTCACAGGTAGATTTTTTTGAATAATTTCCACTTCCACTATACTAAGCCAGTTAATTCCTTAAAGAATCTGAAATGCGATAAAAAAATTATCATTCAGATCATGACAGAACTTTAACAAATAGAGGATTTTGTGCTCACCTTTATTTGGCTCAGTGCAGACAGCTTCAGGCCAGTCATATCCATAACCTTCAAGCAGGTATTAATCTGTCTCCTGAACTTCTTTGACGCAGCTGGCTATAAAGAATACAGAATATATTTAATCTCTTTTCCCTAATTTGGTACCATTAATCATCAATAAAAAAAAACTCGGCTGGTTGGGGAAGAACCACCCCCATGGCATTATAATTAAGAAGGGACCATATGACCACGGTTGAGAAAACCCCAATAAGAAAGCACTTACCAGGACAACACGATCTCGATATTCATTCATCTGTATGTGTGACTGCACATAATAGTTCACCTAAGAAAAATTGGGTGAGATAATTTAGAGAGCTCTTATTTCTATGGAAAAATAGTCTGCCATATCCATTATATATCTTGATATTGATATTGATCATACAAATCGAGACAAAGTTGTGTATCCTTTATTCAGCTTATCCTTTATTACATAGTAAACTTAGTCAAAATAAAGGTTTTCTTCATTGACAGACATACTGCAAACACAATCAAGATATATATGAAACTGACTCAGATATGATATTGAATGTCTTGCTATTCTTTCAAATTAAATCAACAGCTTTAATTATTTTTCCAAGGACAGTTAACCTACCGAGGCCTTGTCAAAAGTACTAAGACCCACACCAAATGCATAAACAGGTTGTCCCTACAAAAAAAAAGGAGAGGAGCACAAATTAAAGCATATAATAAAAAATCCTTCTCACTACAGAGGAAACAAAGTAGCAAACTGCTGAGAAATGAATAGATCACTTTTGCAATCATGTCAGGGCGAAAATAGAATATTCCAATGGATGGAGAAAAAGAGATTAGTAAAAGCATATATCATATCAATAACATTGTTAACATTGCTAACATGAGAAATATGAGTCTGATCACTGTACCTGCTTGGAGTACCCTGTCAATCCAACAAGTAGCGTGTCTCGAATGGCTCTATATAAATCAGATGGCAGAATGGGTTTCTGTATCAAAAACAAATTGTAATGCTAGTCAAAAGAATACCATGAGTTAAATCATAAAAAAGGGCCGCATATATTGGTATTAGCATTTAGTTCATGATGCAAATGAAACAATATTTCAAAAAAAAAAACCTGCTACCAATGTAAAGAATATGCAGGGAAAAGTGAAGATATGCGATCACTACAAAACATATCCCAAGTCATTTGTTGGCATTCTAGCAATCCAATCTACTTTTCTTTTTCAAAAGAAAAAAAAAAGACTTTGTACACTAAAAAAGCTACTTACAGCTAACACGCTGTCAATCTCATTCTGTACTCTCCAGTTTAAGCAATCCATTAGCTACAGCAAACAATTAGATATCTCATCAGTTATTCCCAAGGGAAACCTCTCAACCTGAATGTAGATTGTAGATCACGCAAAAGGAGGCCCGGTGACTTACCATTTTATGAGCTTTAGGGGCACTCCATTCTCTAGCCTTCAGAAAACGCACCAAAGTCCCTCTCAGATTTCCTTGATGCACATTCTGCAAACATATCTAACCAATCACTTTTTGGTCATATTTCTTGTTTTTAAAAAATATAATATCAAGTGTCAACAGAAAAAATGCTGTCTACTGATGAAAAGAACAAGATCAATAGTAAATAATAAAACTAAACAACAAATTGCAATAGACATGTGGTGAAAAATACATAAGCTAACAGAATGCAGCACCACAGTCTTGTGATGCCAGCAGGTTGACATAAAAAAGAAAGAAAAACATTGTTTCTTAGTGGGGCATATTGTGATTCCAGAGTGGTTGCACAACCACACACGTCCTCAGTCCTGAGATCAATCATGCTCTTTGTCACACTAATCATGAGTCATGACAAGGACTTAAGGACCAAATAAAAGTCCGAATCTGCAATTGAAACGTCTCCACCAGGAACAGTCCAGGCCACAGATGTTCAGGAACACGTCAACATCTAGGTCCACCTTCATCAGCACACGTCCAAATCAAACAATAGAAATTTCTTCGGCGATTGATTCGTGCTAGGTGAGATCCACACAGTGTGTGCACCATCCAACTACAAGCTTGGACAGAGTCCTCCCATGGGTCAAAGGACTAATTCAGCATGCAACACAACTAATCAATACTTTATATAATCTTGGGAGTGCCTGACCCTAAAATATTTCTAGCATGCTAACACATGCTTAGAAAGTAGGAAGTCTAGACGGCCTCCTAGCCGGCAGCCACGACCGAAATTAGTTGCGAGTCAAACAAGAAGAAAATGAGTATTTGGGCTCCAAATGGAGCACTGGGAACAGTAGACGGCACCGACACCACAGCTAGTACCAAAAATTGTAGTCAGGACCCAACCAGAGGTACTACTTTCATTTATATACCTCGTGACATATCGAAACAAATATCTCCGTATGCAACCCAAACAAGAGGAAAAGTTAATTTTCGAAATCGTAAAGGTGTTTCTGAAAGCACCAAATTGATTGTTGCAAAAACACTCTAACACAGAACAAGTTTAAGCTTTACGGCAACAAAAAGATGCTCTGTAAAGCACCAAGTTGAGAACTAATCCACAAGAAAGTCGAGTGGGAAAAGACCAAAATTCTATCTCTAAGCGAAATAAATGAGCACTGACAAAAAGCATTCTTGAAAGATGCTTCTCTCATGAAAAGAATCAAAATGAGTTGAAGACCCAAATTTTGGTGTACACCGGACCAAATAACAGAAAGAAAGCGGGAGCAGGAAATAAGAGAAATTAAAGCATTCAAAATTTTCAATTTGATGGAAATTCCAACCGGATCGACAGTAACAGGTCAGCGAAATTGAGCTCTGGACATAATCAAATTCAAAGATCTAAGCCCTACGCAGCTAACAGGACAACAGACTAACTCACAGTTCTTCAGATTTTTTTTAAATGAAGAAGCGCTCGGGAGCACCTAAATCCGCAAAAATGCGAGAACTAAAGCAAAACTTGACTTCGAAACACGCGCAAAATCTGCAGGGGTTTTCGTTCAGAAAGCAACCAGAACCAAATCAGTCACAAAACGGCAGAGATCCATCAGGAATAGACGAACAACGAGTGGAGCAGATCGACACTTGGAATGTAGTCTTGAGCGGCTCCTCCACTGCAAGAAAGAAATTTCCGCAGTTCAGTGGCCAAGAAACCCGAGCCAGAGAAAAAAAAAGATGGATCTTTTCCTAGTTCTTTGCAAAGAAGACGAGCACAAGAACAGAGGACTCACGCTGCTCAATGAGCGCAGAGAACTGCTTGATGGCCTCCTCCGAGGTGGCCGCCATTGCTGGCAACCGAAGACTGGGGTCAAAAGCCGGGTCTTTTCTGCCTTTTCCAGCTCCCCGTTCCTCTCCTCAACTAATTTGTGGTCCGGTGCTGACCTGTGTGTAGCCGTGGAGCCTACCTCCGTGCTCCGGTCGACAGACAGACGATGGTCGGCGCCGGAGGTGCTCGCTATTCCCGTCCCTCGACCTCGGCCTCCACGTCCATCATGGACGTCAGGTCCTTGGGGTGCTGCCGCTGCTAGATCGAGGCCGCCTTCGCGGTCGCGTCGCTCCCCGTCGCAGTCGCTGAGACCCCGTGCCCCCGTGCAGGTGCGGGCATGCGCCCGTGGCCTCGCGCGTGCGAGAGAGATGGAGAGCGACGACGTCGAGGAGCGACGCACGGAGCCACCGAGAAGGCTAGACGGGGGTTCCCCAGCTCTATGCGGCTGCCGGCGGCGCACCCAGATGCGGGCGGGCGGGCGCGGGCGACGATGGTGCGCGTGCGGCGGCGGCGCAGCCTGCTGCGGGTGGGCACTAGGGGGGGAGGCGGGCCGGAGAGGCGTCGGGGCAAGGGTTGGGGGACTCGCGGGATCGCACGATTGGAGGAGGTCCCACCTGCCGGCGCCGCGGGATCGCAGGCGTGGACAGACGGACGAACCAAAACAAATGTCGCACGAAAAAATATTCACATTTTGTTCTTTTTAGTTGTAGGAGATTGACTTCAGGTGAATATATTGATTACCTAAGTGTTGTATAATCTACACTTTGATTTACCTCACTCTGGCTTCCTTTATCTTTCTTGTTTTACTGAACAACTCCTTAAATTACCTTGGCCCCAAGGTCTAAGACGAGGGGGCTTTCTTGGGGATCCACATCCACATCCCCACGTTGCTTGCAGTCTTCCAGACTCCAGGGGAATTCCACAGGCAGTGAGGCAGGGCCACAATGGAAGCACTCCGCAACGCGCTTCTCAACGAGCTCGTCAGCAGAGCCGTATCATTCCTGGTGTCCACGTGCGGGAGCAGGCTGATGCGATGCAGTGCGGCTGGCCGTCGTCGGAGGGAGGAGGAGAGGCGATGCACCGTCTGCGGCTCCCTGCTCCCGAGGAGCGCCACGATCGTCGAGGAAGCCGAGGGTCGGCGCGTCACCAACCGTGGCGTGCTCCGGCAGCTCGTGGTCTGGAAAGCGACGCGCGATGGTGAGAGGCCACTACGTCTCGACACCGTCGAGTACTGACGCCGGCGGAGGAGACCGGTGGGGAAGAAGACGGCGGTAGCAAGGAGGTGGTTCCAGCGTTCGCCTCGTCCATATTCAACCCATAAGCGTGCGGTGCGGTCGTCGTCGGAGACCACGCCCGCGGCCGGCCCGGCCCCGCGAGGAGGACACCTCTCTCCGGTGCGGCGGATGGTTCGCGGCACTGGAGGCCACATCTCGCCGACGCCAAGGAGCTGGCCGTGTTCTGACGGCTGCCCACCCGTGTCGTGCCGCCTTGACCTCTGGCGCCCATCTATTCTGGACAAGTGCATGTTTGGCCGACACGCGGAGAGGACCGGGTTCTTGAATTCTTGTTGCAAAGCGAGCCGCCGTAAGTGCCGATGATCTGCTGGAAACCGGGGCGGGCGTTCTTCCGATCGTTGACCCCGCGCTCATCGGGAAGAGCACTCTTGTGGAGCATGTCGCGCAACGACGAGAGAGTGCGTGACCATTTCTCCCCGATCCTGTTGCCGCGCTATGCCGGAGTCTTTGGCGTTGGAGGTCTTGGAACCATGGCGGCTTAAGGGACAAGCTGCGCGACCAAGCATCGAGCAATACGGAGGACGAAAGATGGTTGCTTGTGATTGAGCTTTCAGGGGGCGTGGACGACGAGGCATGGAACAACCTCTCTACTCTCGTGGAAGAAGATGCATGCCGTGGGGAGCAAGGTGATACTCACGAGCGGTGCGAGAAGATCGAGAGGTTCGGGGCGACGACGAGGTGTCCGGTGAGATGCCTCAAAGACGGAAGCCATGTGGTACTTCTTCAAGCTAAGCGCGTTCGGGAGCGCTGATCCAGACGAGCACCCGAAGCTGGCGTCGGTGGCCATGGAAATGGCGGTCGAGGCGCGGGGGTCGTTCATGGCCGCCAACATCATGGCCGCCATGGTGAGGGCCGACCTCAGCAGCCGGCAGCTCTGGTGCAAGGTCCTCGCGACGGCGAGGCACTATATGCTGAAGAACCTCGTGCTGTTCGGTGAGTACCCGGACGACCTCAAAGCCAAGGATCGTCCTCGCCGCACTTGGAGCATGAACAAACTGCTGAAACCCAACGAGTGTTTCCTCATGTACGAGACTTACCAGAAGTGCTCTGCTCAACCACAAGAGCAGGCCCTCCCGGACCCAGAGGTGACGATAATGGAAATGTTGTCCGGACAAGCACAACCGCGAGGAACGACGTTTGAGATCTTGTTTTGGAAAACTAGGCTACCGCCCTACTTTAGCTACATATGTCCATGCGAGATCCGTGGTACATATGCCCAATAGCTTTATCCGTGGGCACATGATATGGGAACACATGGACTCGTACAGTTGTGCGTCTACCGTGATATAACATGGATTCTAGAAAAATCAAGTTGTTGTTTGGTTGCTAAGCGAAAGCAATCTGTATTTTAGGTAGTTTTAAAATTTGTGGAGGTAAGTTATCTGGTATTTGAGTTCGTGGATCCTTTTTAATCCAGCGACAAGTTTAGGAATAAATCGTACATTAGTTAGATAAGAAATGTTTAAGTTTTTTTTCATTTAAGAAGAAAGTGAATTACAAGTATAATGACAGACAACTTTGATATTTAATAAGAACCACAAAAGTAGACTAACGAGAGAAAACCTTCGAGGTTTTTTCATTGACTTCAGTGGTGAATATATTGATTACCTTCGTGTTGTATGATCTACACTTTGATTTACCTCACTCCGGCTTCCTTTACCTTTCTTGGTTTACTGAGCAACTCCTTTAATTACCTTGGCCCCAAGGTCTAAGACGAGGGCCAACAAAAACCAATCTTGGATCGAGACCGGGCTTTCCGGTGGGTTAGGCGTTGCGTGGCCTAACTTATTGACGAAGGTGAAAAGCAGTACAGAAACAGAAAGGCTAACGATCAACCGGTTGATTTGTTGGTTGTTATCAACCGTTTTCTGGGCCGTGCGATGCAGAAGCGTCGGCCTCCGCCACCTGCGATCATGCTGGCATGTGCGTGCGTGCGATGCGTCCCTATTTGTGCGTCCGCTCGGCTTCAGCGTTGTGGGGGTATGGCCCCCAAGACATGGGCCGCATCATCGGGGGTAGCCCGGCCCACAAGATCAAAGCGTACACGGCGCTGCTCGGCGTGCACCGCAAGACATTGTATAGTACCAAATAGGATACTTTACTTGTAACCCTGCCCCTCCAGAGTATATAAGGAGAGGCAGTGGTCCTCTACTCGACATCATGTATTCAATACAATACACCAAAGACACATGACGTAGGGTATTATGTCGATCATACGGCCCGAACCTGTCTAAATCGTTGTCTCTGCGCCTTGTGTCACCATCCGGTTCCTGATTACGCGCATCCCCACCGACAAATCTACCATCGCAGGATACCCCTCGGTGGACTGTCGACGATATTCTGTCGACAGTTGGCGCACCAGGTAGGGGCTGTGCGTGCTGTTTCCTTGTCGAACAAGATGGTTTTTTCCGCAGGCTCTTCGTCCCTCCCGCAGCCCGGCCAGATCTTCACGGTCGGATCCATCTCGTGGATCATCAACGCTGACGGAGTCAGAGAGCTTCTCGAGCCGAAGCAGATCAGTTCTGCGCCGGCCACCCCTACACCTGCAACGGCAGACCCGATCTCGAAACCACCTCCGAGGTCGTCTTCACCAACAACTCGCCACCGTGGCTCTCGTTAGCCCTCGTCGACGACTCGCCGCCGCTGCTCTCGTCAGCCCTCGTCGACGACTAGCCACCGCTGCTCTGGTTGGCCCTCGTCGATGACTCGCCGCCGCTGCTCTGGTTGGCCCTCGTCGACGACTCACCGCCGATGCTCTCATTAGCCCTCGTCGATGACTCGCCACCGCTGCTCTCGTCAGCCCTCGTCGACGACTAGCCGCTGCTGCTCTGGTTGGCCCTCGTCGACGACTCGCCGCCGATGCTCTGGTTGGCCCTCGTCGACGACTCACCGCTGATGTCTCATTGGCCCTCGTCGACGACTCGCCGCCGTTGCCCTCGTCAGCCCTCGTCGATGACTCGCCGCCGCTGCCCTTGGCGGCCTTCGCCGACAGCCCTCGCCGACATCTTTCACTGATGTCCCTCGCTGTCGACTCGTCGTCACCGCTCGACGGCCTTCGCCGACATCCTTCGCCGACGTCCCTCGCCGTCGACTCGTCGTCACCGCTCGATGGCCTTCGCCGACATCCTTCACCGACGTCCCTCGCCGTTGTCTCGTCATCATTACTCGGCGGCCCTCACCGACATCCCTCGTCGCCGCCGAGCTGCAAGCGAGCTGCCCGCGTCGCCGACCAGATAACGCCATACGCCGCTGACCAGACATTATGTCTAAAGCTAAGTCATGTTTTAATATTCTTCTAAATATTCTTCGATCTCCGTATATCATCATAATGTTTCTCTGAACTGTTTTCTCCATATTTGCTCTCCAAACAATTTTTTGAACCCTCGAACAGTCACGTTGATGCTCGGACGCCTTCAGAGACGGCCCTGTCTCCGGCTCCTCCCTATACGTGCTACGGGCTCCGCGCTCTACGTTATGGGTGGTCGGCAGCGGCTCCTTGGTCACGCCTGTTCCTCCTACACGTGCACGGGCTCCGCGCTCGACGTTATGGACTATGGGCTAGCTAGGGCTGAAGACTTAGCTGCACACTAACTGTTCGGGCGGTTTATATTAAACATAAATATATTTTCACGCCAACTAATCGTCGAACTGCATACGCTGTTTCATCACCATTGCTGATTTTTCTCCTGAGTTTCTTTATTTGTACATCGTGTACTACCCGTTCT